TTAAAAATGGGAGGGAAGTCGTAGGAAAAAATAAAATTTCTTATTAAAAAGTAAAAAATTTACATATTCTTTAAAACAAATCATATGAAAGAATTTCCCTTTATGAGTTCAAATGCTGGAAAATACTAGTATAATTACAGTGACTTGATTTTAACAAACCTTAAGTTCATCCTGAGGTAAAAGATCACATAAAAATTGATGGACTGCTTACGTATGTCCTTTTGCTCTCTCTAAACTCATAAATTTGTTTCATTTCTATGAATGTAAGAAAAGTATTAAAAAGAGAATTATAAATAAAACTAGAAAATAATCTGTAACATGATTTTTAGGTACTACAAAAACTATTAAAATAAAAACAGTCGAACACTTGATGTTATCGATTTCAATTAATGAAGGTCCTAAAGCCCCAAAAGATAAAGAGAGCACACCCTTGAGGCTCCTCCAATGGGGCTGTGAGCCTTGCTTAAGGTGTAGGCCCTTCTTCCTCCCTTCTAGGAAAGCTTATGCCTCTCTGCTAAGAATAATAATAAAACCAAAACCATACCCGTTGTCGAGTGGATTCCAACTCATAGTGACCCTACAGGACAGGGTAGAACTGCCCCGCAGGGTTTCCAAGGAGAGGCTGGTGGATTCAAACTGCTGACCTTCTGGTTAGCAGCAAAGCTCCTAACTACTGTGCCACCAGGGCTCCCCAAGAATAATAACAGGGCACATTAAGCCAGACATTATGCGAAATGCTCTATGTTCCTGGGTTGGAGGAATCTGAGGCACAGAGAAATGAGGAAGAAAAGGTGCAGCCAGGCCCTGAACCCAGGCAAGTCTCCCATGCTCTTAACAAACAGCCCACATTGCCTCCCCTAACAACACTTCTGCCAACCTCACAAAGTCAGGGCTGAGCCAGCATCCAAGTTTGGAACAAGGGATATGCAATCCACCTTATCCAAGACCCTTCCTACTTCTACTCTTCTATGTAATCCTTTAGCAGCCCTTCCTTCATTCTGGACTTATTGCCAGCAAGAGTTTGAAAGGGCTTTTAACTCACAAAAGGAATTGGGATATCTCTTCTCAATAGAAAAAGGAGCCCTGGTTGTTCGGTGGTTAAAGTTGCTAACAAAAAGGTTGGCAGTTCGAACCCACCAATCACTCTGCAGGAGAAAGATGGGACAGTCTGCTTCCATAAAGATTACAGCCTTGGAAACCCTGTGGGATGGTTCTACTCTGTCCTATAGGGTCACTATGAGTTGGAATCGACTTGATGGCAGTGGATGGGTTTTTTTCTCAATAGAGAAATAATTTAACACTGAAAAGACTCTTTAGCAATCACCTTTCTAATCCAGAACAGCCTCACTCTCAGAAACTACTCTCTCTTACCTCTGACAAAAAAGACTGGCATAAATACGTACATCAAGGATTCCCTTAACTTTCCTCTTGCCTATCTCAGGATTCTGTTCTTTTGCCTCACTCTCATCCCTTAATTTTGTTTGTCAGGAAGACGTACCTCTGCTGCTACTCATGCTCTAGCCCAGCAGTTCTCAAATGTTTTGGTCTTAGGAACCCTTTGCATGCTCAAAAATTACTGAGAAATCCAAAGAGCTTTGTGTATGTGTGGGTTGTATCTATCAATATTTACTACATAGAAATTAAAACTGAGATTTTAAAAAATAATACTAAAATGCATTACACATGTTAATATAAACATACTTTATGAAAAATAACTATATTTTGCAAAACAAAAACATAATGAGAAGGGTGGCATTATTTCAAGTTTTTTAAAAACTAATGTTTAGCTTAATAGAAGATAGCCAGGTTCTCATATCTGCTTCTCAGTCAGCTTGATTCTCAGTTTGCTGTGACAGTCATAGTCAAGCAGAGTCATGCCACCTTGTAAACTCCACTGTACACTCTTGAGTGAATGAAAGTAGAAAAGCAAACAGTCTTAGTATAAGAAGTTTTGAAAATAGTTTTGACCTTCAGATTCCCCAGCGACCCTTGGAGAACCACTGCTCTCATCCATCTGTTTTCTCCACATGTTCCTATGTTTGCTTTCATCAGCTATCCAGAGGCAACATGAGCTTTCAGTCTCACTCTCTGTTGGCTCCCTTACCAGGATCACCTCCGCCACCTCCTCCACTACCACCACCTCCTCCACCCAATGCACCACCTTCCCTAACATAACAAAAAGATCTTAAATTATGCTATCTCCTCAAGCTACTTACTACCCTTCTTTAATAAAACAAAACTTCTTGAAAAAATAGCTCCCACTGCTTCTACTGCCTCACCACTCCTTTTTTTTATTACAATACATAGAGACACATTTTAAAAAGTTAAAACAATATAGATCAACCATCCACAATTCCAGCTTCCTCACCAGAGGTAACCACTGTTTACTCTCAGAGAATAATCTGAACCTATTTTCAAACTAAATATCAGACTGAACTTTTATTTTCTCGTGATTGTCCCATTCAAATAACTGTACCAAAAAGAAAAAAGAAAAAAATTCTCACAGAGGTTTCTGATTAGTTAGATTCCAATTGTTTCAGTACCTAAATTATGGATCAAAGAATAAGGGCTACAAATTAGGAGATAAAACTGAGGGTTTAATACAAAGCTAGGTCTAAACTAATGTTAAAAGCATGATGATTTTTTGGCAGCACAAGCTAATAAGATAGAATAATGAGACAACTAAGCTTTCTATATAAAATCTTCATATTTCATTACCTAAATGCTGATGAATGATGACTGTATGCATCACCTTAGTAAGTAATGGTGACTAAAGTTTATAAAACGATTTCACATATACTATCTCTTAAAATTTCACAACTCTTTAAGATTAACAGGAATTATCATTAATATTTTATAGATAAAAAAGCCAAAGTTCTAAAAAAAGAAAAATTACTTGCTGAAAATTGCATAGCTAGAAACATGTACTCATAAACCACAAGACAGAACTTATATCTTCTAACTCAAATCAAAACCCACTTCTTTATGTCATATTGAACCGTAAAAAATTCTAGCAATATAAAAATACTAAGTTCTTGCTTATTTATACAACTACTTTGGGAAAAAAAACCTCTACTTTCAAAGTTGAACAGAAAATACAAAAATGAATTATATAACTTCTGAATGCATTTGTAGATATAATATAAAATTAGAACTATAACATCTTAAATCCTAAAACTTTATTTAGGCATTGCCCTTAATAAGAGATCTAAGACCCCTCATCTGAGGATGATGCAACTGCTACTGAAAAGAAGACCACACAGACATAATTCATGAACAGAAACTTCTTAAATTTCACAATCAGAATTTTGAATAAAATAATATAAATTATTTAAAAAAAATAAACCTACTTGTACAAATAACAAAGCATGTAACTATTAACCTTGGGAAAATGCTGTTTCCAAGTCCCTTTTTTTTTCCTACACAAAGGAACCAAACAGCAGTTCAACATATTTAAGTGATTATACTGAAGAGGAAAATTGATAACAGACATCTTACTTATATTTTAAGGTTATTCTTATCCACAAAACCAAATATTCATCCTAAAAAGCCTGCCAGAAAATACTCATAAAACCAAACCCACTGCTGTCGAGTCAATTCCAACTCACAGAGACCCTACAGGACAGAACAGAACTGCCCCATAGGGTCTGCAAGGAGCAGCTGGTGAATTCAAACTGCCGACCTTTTGGTTAGCAGCCTAACGCTAAACCACTGTGCAACCAGGGCCCCAAATTTGTCTTATCCTTCTAGAAAAAGATAGTTGTCAAACCACTACCTCCTAATTTAAATCTCAAAAATTCTCATGGCTGCAGGTGGGTGGCGGGCCAAATTATTAACAGCCAGGCCAGAAGTAACCTGATATCAATTGATCTCAGTAAAAGGGGAAGGCAAGGTTCAATCATGTTAAGATTAGTCAATGGTTGATCCATATTTCTTTCTCCTCCTCTCCTTAAAAGCCTGATTGTACCTACCTTCTTCTAGTCATTTGCTTTTCCTGGAATCAAAATGGCCTCTCTATACGCATACACAGCCCTGGTGATGAAGTGGTTAAAAGCTTGGCTGCTAACCAAAACGTCAGCAGTTCGAATCCACCAGCCACTCCTTGGAAACCATATGGGGCAGTTCTACTCTGTCCTATAGGGTTACTATGAGTCAGAATCAACTAGAGGGCAACGGGTTTGATTTTTTTTTAAAAAATGGGTACATGCATATAGAATAAACCTTATGTTCAAATTTTGGTACGTTTTGATTATTTGTATAACAATTATAACACAATGGTTTGGATTATGAATGAAAATAAATTGAACTTAAACTATTTCTTACTAAGGGTTCTGGATCTTAGCTAACTCAATTTCAAATATAATAATACAGAAAATTTTAAAAACTAAGATTATGCTAATCCTTATAACACACCCTGACATTTTAGAATTATGGATAATTTTTTTCTTCACATTTTACTCTTCCTAAACATTAAAGATACATATCTGTTGTCAACACATCCTTATCAGAAGACCAAGAATCCACCTGAGACTATGGCTCCCAGACACCCTGCCAACTCAAAACTGAAGCCACTCCTCAAGTCCCCCTTTCAGCCCAAGATTAGACAGGCCTATAAAACAAACAGTAACACATGTGAGGAACATGCTTCTTAGTTTAATCAAGTACACCAGACCAAATGGGCAACACCTGCCCAAAAGCAAACATGAGAAGGCAGGAAGGGACAGGAAAACTGGACATATGGATGTGGAGAACCAAGGGTGGGAAGGAAAAGGCGGAGGGTGCCGACACATCTTGTGGATTGCAACCAATATCACAAAATAATTTGTGTATAAAATTTTTGAATGAAAAACTAATCTATGCTGAAAACTTTCATCTAAAACACAGTAAAATTTTAAAAAATAAAAATAAAAAAATCCATAGTGAAATATTTCCATAATGAAGTTAGTCTGAACAGTACTAGAAAGTTGCTTTACTAAGAAATACTTGAGCATTTCTCTTACCTCTGTTTCTGTACTACGTGAATATTCCAATTTACCTGTAATAAAAATACAAAAGTTACTTCTGTGAAAGAGAAAAATTAAAGAGACATCTTACTTTGATTTTAAAGAATTTTTTTTTAATCCACGAAACCAATAATTAACTGTAAAAAAGACTTAACCCAAATTCCAAAAATACTACTTTCCCCCTGCTATCCAAACCCACAGCCAGTGAGCAGATTCCCAATAGTTACTGCATATAACCTGCTCTTTTCTGGCTGGAAAAGGGTAGTTAATAACAAAACCATTACCTCCTGATTTAATGAAAAAGACAGTAAGCTTTTGTAATTTAAATTTCAAGAGGTCTCAAGGATGCAGGTGGGTGAAGGGACAAATTTGTAGTAAGCATTAAGTATGTGGTCACCATGGAAACTTGTATTCACTAAGAAAAAATATTTAAAGCTTTTGTGAAATCTCAAATATTTGAGAGTGCTTCTCTTTCATTTTTCCTTCATGCATGGGAGACTTGTGCTCAACGATCTGCAAACTATTTATTAAATTATAAAACAATCAATTATTATATTATTGTTTACAGCTAATTCAAAAGGTTTACCTTTAACAATGATAACTAGCCTACTTTAAGCCATTTGTTATTTTGAATCACAATGGTCTCCCTATATACATATAGAACTGCTCTGAAGAACCCTTCTGTTTCAAGTTTTTTGAGTTTTGATTATTTTTTAAAACATCCAAAGGATGTTGGCTTTTTGATTGTTAATAAAAAATATTTTAGTTACTCTGGGCATTGTTTTATTACAGGTATGAAAAGATCTATGCAAATAAAAGGTGCTCAACTGACCAGATATTCTAGAAGGTCCTGCTTGCAGATTTAAATTTAAATACGCTCACAGGAAAATACTAATAAGATAGGAAGAATATGCTTAATTGTAATAAGATCTAAAACAAAAATTTAACATGCATATATACAAATTAACCAAAGTAAAAACAAAAATGCTTTTTAAAGTCTTGCTTTCTTTTTAAAATACCATGAAGACTACTAGGCCTTTCCCCAAGTATATCTCTTCAAAGAAGATATACAAATAGCAAATAAGCACATGAAAACATGTTCAGCATCATTAGTCATTAGGTAAATGCAATTCAAAACTATAATGAGATACCACTTCACATCCACTAGGATGGCTATTATCAGAAAAATGAAAAACAAGAGTTGGCAAGGATGTGGAGAAATTGGAACCCTTGTGCACTGCTGGTGGGAATGTAAAATGGTACAGCTGCTATGGAAAACATTTTGGAGGTTCCTCAAAAAGTTAAACATAGAATTACCATATAACTCAGCAATTCTGGATATATGCAATTCACTCCTAGGTATATGCCCAAAAGAACTGAGAGCAGGGACTCAAACAGATACGTGTACACTTATGTTCAGTGCAGGACTATTCACAATAACCAAAGGTGGAAACAATCCAATGTTCATCAACAGATGAATGGATAAACAAAATGCAGTCTATACACACAATAGAATATTATTCAGCCATAAGAGAAATGAAATTCCGATACATGCTATGATATACATGAACCTTAAAACATTATGCTGAGTAAAGTAAGTCAGATACAAAAGGATATAAACAGTGCATGACCTCCCTTATATGAAATATCTACAATAGGCAAATACAGAGACAGAAGTTTATCAGTGGTTACCTGGGGATGAGGGAAGGGGGGATGTGGAGAAATGACTGAAAGGATACCAACCCCATTGTTGTCGCGTCGATCCCAACTCATAGTGACCCTACAGGACAAAGCAGGACTCATAGGGTTTCCAAGGAGCACCTGGTGGATTTGAACTGCTGACCTTCTGGTTAGCAGCCAAACTTAACCACTATGCCACCAGAGTTGCTGTTTAGGGTGATGAAAAACATTTGGAAATAGATAGTGGTGGTGGAAGCATAACATGGTGAACATAATTAACGTCACTGAATTATACATTAAAAATAGTTTAAATGCTACTCAGCCAGTGGAGAAATGAAGTTTTGATCCAAAAACCAAACCCACTTCCCTTGAGTCGATTTCGACTCATACAACCCTGTAGGACAGAGAACTGCTCCCATAGGGTTTCCAAGGTTGTAAATCTTTACGGAAGAGGACAGCCACACCTTTCTCCCGCAGGACAGCTGGTGGGTTAGAACTGCCAACCTTTTGGTTAGCAGCTGAGTGTTTTAACCACTGTGTCACACCAGGGCTCCCTAAAGTCTTGATACATGCTACAATACGAACGGAGCTCGAAAACATTATGCTGAGTGAAATGTCATTCCAAAAGGACAAACACCGTATGACCTCGTTTATATAAAACGACAAGAAAAGGCAAATGTACAGAGACTAAGTTTATTAATGGTTACTAGGGGCGGAAAGTGGAACCCTGGTGGTGCAGGGGTTAAGAATTACGGCTGCTAACCAAAAGGTCGGCAGTTTGATGCCACTAGCTGCTCCTTGGAAACCCTATGGGGCAGTTCAACTCTGTCCTATAGGGTCGCTATGAGTTGGAATCAACTGGAGTTTGGTTTTTATGGGCAGGAGGGAGGGGGAAATGGAAGGTTATGGCTTATGGAGTACTAAGCTTCAGTTTATGGTGATGGAAAATCACATTGGTTGAGGGTAAGGTTGCACAGCTGATTATTATAAGTGCTAAGAATAAGTTGTACACCTGTAAAATACTGAATTGGCAAAAGTTATTTGATAAGACGTATTTACAATGCCAAAAAAAAAAAGAGTGGCTGAAGCTCTTAGGTACAACTAAACACTTCATGGGATTCGATTACTTGGTTTGGAGCGTTAGGGTCATGGTTTCATGGGGCATCTCAGTTAACTGGCCTAATAATTAGTGTTTCCTGCTTCTGTTCTATGTCCTAGCTCACTGCCTAGTGCCTGTGGTCTTAAAAGCTTGCAAGGTGCCATCCAACAATTGGTACAACAACTGGTCTCTATTTGCCTGGAGCAATAGAGGAAAAAGGAGAGTCAGAAATAAAAGGAGGAAATGGAATGTTGGCTAACTGCTTCCATGAACAACTGCCTCCTTTGCCATGACACCAGAAGAACTGGATAATGCCTGGCTACCATTATTTAACGTTTTTATCAAAGATTCTATAGAACAATCCTTATCAAAGGGTGTAAATGCAGCACAGAATTTCAAATTCCCATGAAATCTAGATTTTCTGGAGCTGTGGAGGCTAGATGAACCACTGAAACTACTGCCCTGAGATAATCTTTAAACTTAAACCAAAAATATCCCCTGAAGTCTTCTTAAAACCAAAAAACAGTTTAGCTTAACTAGTAAAGGATGTCTCCTTGAGCATTACGCTCTTTTAAGAACTATCTATGTGGGATCGAACTGACATCAGCAACTCAAAAAATTAGATAGGAAATTTAGGGGGCAATAAGTTTATGTTAATGCGGGGAGGAACAACTCAGAAAAGGAGGGTGAGAATGGTTGCACACCTCGAAAAATGTAGTCAACGTCACTGAACTGTACATGTAGAAATTGTTGAACTGGTATATGTTTTGCCGTGTATATTCTCAATAACAAAATAAATTTTAGAAAATTTTCTTAATGGTTAAATTGGCATATTTTTGCTATATATTATTTAACACAAAAAATAATTTATATATCCAGCTCTATCCACCAAACGAGTGAGAAGCGAAAGCACCTCGTTTTACAAGGGCACACTTAGGCCCAGTCCCCACGCAGAGGAACTGGAATCTAGTAATTTGATGGCTGGGAGAGGGAATTTACAATATAAGCTTGGAACATCTTTTTGCACTAGAAAGTAATAAAGCGTTCAAAGAATGGGAGATAGTGACATCAAAAGGGCATAAAAATCACACTCAAGATGCTCCCACAAACAAATCTGGGACTATTTGAGCATCAAAACTGATAATGTCAAGAATGGATTATATCACGTTGAGTTTAAAAAAATCCGTAAGTCTACATTAACATTTTAAAAAAGGTGATTTTAAAGCATGGGATTGGGGAGGAAAATATCCTTTTTCTTAGAAGATTCATGCTGAAGTGCATAGGAGGGAAGGTACAGAATGTCTCCAACTACCTCTCAAATGATTCTGGGGGGGAAAAAAAACACATACTCAGATAAAACAAAACGTTAATTGGCAAATCTAGGTGAAGAGTATATGGATGTTCACTGTATTATTCTTGCAACATTTCTATTTGAAATTTTTCTAAATAAAAAATAAAGAAAAAAATGTACATGGACTTTGATACGTAACAGATCCTTTCCTTCCTGTTACTTGAATCTTTCTCACTACAAAGACAGAGTGTCTGGTCCCTACGAATCACTAGGGAGGAAAGCCTACTAATTCTTGCCCAATCAAGAAGCCCTATTTTAGCAAGGCAGAGCAGAGACATGTCAGACCTTCAGAACTGTAGGTACACTCAGAAAGGTCAAATCACCATCAACATTTTGATTCTGCAAAGCCTTCATCACTTCATCAGATCTTTCAGAACCTATTAAACTGGTAATGAATTTAACAGCAGTAAAGAAACCACCCAGGGGCCAAGATGGTGGAGTAATCAGACACTTCCTGTGGTCCCTCTTACAACAAAGACCTGAAAAAGCAAGGAAATCAATTATATATGAAAATCTAGGAGCCCTGAACATCAAAGGCAAAGTTGAGGAATCGGACTGAGCAGCAGGGGGAGGAAGAGGCTGTTCAGAAGCAGCGAGGAGTTGCCAGACCTGACCCGGCAGGAACCAGCACCCTTCAGGCTGGGTTGGCTGGCATGCACAGTGAGGCAAGCAGTGGCTTTCATGATGCGTTTTCAACAATGGGAGACAAAGAGCTGCAAAGAGTCTACTCAAACCTCCAGAACCAGTAAAAAGTGGCACTCAATGGGTAAAGATAAGTACAAGCATCTAACCTACCATGCAGATAAAAAAAATACTGCCTTTAGGAAAAACTGTCTCCCATTTACTTCTCCCTCCCTGCTCTGCACAGGGAACTGGGCCAGATTCAGGGATTGCCACATCCC